AGTATCACAATTCAGCAATCAACTATGATACTTTGTATTTCTTTTCGTAGCCTTGGTAAACACGATAACTACATCTCTTTAGTACATACGTTGTGGAATAAGTGCTTCATCTCCGTTGGTACGACTTCGGTCAGTCTAATACAGTGAGCTACATGTCCCTAAGTGGATACATTTTATATATTTATCTTCATCATAAACTTTCTATCAACAATGTGTTGAAAAAAGTCTCAAATTTTTCACAGGAACCACAAACAAACTTTAGGGAAAATTGTAATTATTCCAGAGAAGAACGAATCACCCCCATATATGCGATCCGATTTGTTTCAGTTTAGAGAGTTGTTTTTTCAGAAGTTTGAGGCTGAACTGTTGTAAGTTCAATTAAGTCAGGTAATTAAGTGAAAAAGTCCAACTTCGAACGGTTTTTAAAAATAGGAAAAAACCTGTTTTTATCCTGCCTGTACGTTATCAGCCATAAAAATATCATCGATGTACTTTATATGTACCCCTTAAAGGAACATTAAGTTTCATAACTCGCGTTTCAATAGAAAGTGTTAGTTACGAGCACAACAATTCTTAAAGCAGCAAAAATGTTCAAAAAACACTACTTTTCTTTGGTGCCTTTGTCCGCCACGCGGTAGGTGTTAGATACAACTTGCTTCAATGAGCTAGCTCTACAGCCAGATGAGGTATTTTCGGACCTGGTGTTGGCTGTGTAGTAACTCTACATCAATGAATTGATTAAGCTTAATAGCTGATAAATTACAGAAGTTTTTGCGATACTAATGAATGGAAAAACATGATTTTTCTATTGAAAAAAAAGACAAAGTAGTTTTTTTTTACTTTTTTGTTCTGTATTTTTTTATTTGAAAATAGAGTATTGTGTAATTAAGTTTACGGTGGTAATGCTTCAAATTTCAATTTAATAATAACGAAAAAAAACAGGCATTTAAGAAGTTAAGATCAAAGTATGCTCGGAGGTCGAACGTTTCCGAGCAATCAGGAAAAACCAAAACTCCTAAAAAAAAGGAAAGTGTATCATATACATGGGGCGATTCGAACTCCCCATATAGTGATCCATCTCTGGGCTTCCGATTATCACTACTTTTTGGGACATCCTGTTTTGTAGCTCGTCCTCCTGTCTGCATTGAAAGCAAACTGTCGTTCTTAGAATGAAAAGCAGCATCCACCGAGAACCGGAAACGTAATTTCCAGTCAGACAACAATAGTTTGATTCAAGTCGTGGTGTTTTTATGAATGAGCTAGAGATGCTGGCAAGCCAGTCGCTGCGTTTGCTCCACGTCCGTTCAAAACTTTCGGGTTAATAATATCTCGCTGGGATTTAAAATAGGCGATGTATTTGTAAACATCCCGCGGGACAGATACCACGTTGCCACAGCTGCCGCTCACTACAAACAACTGGAAATTTGGTTTTGATTGAGAATGTGACACAACGCCTAGAGGTGTTATAAAACTGTGTAAAGAGCTTTTCCAACTAATTTTTATATAACACAGTTTTCGTAAAATTTTAGTACATTGTTGAGGTCAAGATAGTGAATAAATTTAATAAAAGAAAAGCTTTTATTTAGCTCGTAATAGAAGCTACAAATTTAAAAATATATTCACTAAAAACTCGCTAATATCTCGGCTTATCTTAAGGCTTTTATGTGAGTGTGTCTGTTACAGCAAATATTTCTTTATTGTTAGACAAACTATACGCTGTGTAAAGAAAAGTCTCATCTCTAAGGGCATCATGTGTATTAGGAGAATTGATACTATATCACTACATCGTTATTTGAAGAATATTGTTTTATGCCCAATCATTTCTGGCAGTGCTGTTCATATTTACGTCCTGCATATCTGCGAAGGGACATATCTTTTTTTGAATCGCCTTGTATATTGAATTATATGCACTTATACTTTCATTTATTGGTTGTATTACTATGAGCAAAATTGGCGTCAAGTAGGTTGACACATCGCCGTCATCAGTTCATAAAGTGTTATGCTCAACACAAGTTAGACGCTATCGAAATATGACAGTGCCATAGATCTAATGCTGATGCTTGTTTAAGTTAGACCCTCTAAGTAAATAATGAGTTACAAACATATAACAGAGAAATTGAACGCATCAAGTTTGTCAAACAGGCCCATACAATTATTATACAATATTATTTCCCTACCCTACCCGTGGCATCGTTCATCTGGCATCGTCGCGTCGCTACTGCCCAATACCTGAAAGCATGACGGGTCACAGGCGTCAGAGAGCCCAGAGAGCGCCAGGGATGCAAGACATATATGAACACCGGCATGCTGGGCGCTGCTTGTCGAAGACATCTTTCTATCGTTCTAAGTTTTGAGGGCACAAAATTGCGATACACCATCCTTCACCCCTCCCATTTTCGAAATTTTTCGCGATTACAATACTTCCTCGTCAGTAGGCGTGGGAAGTGACAATGAATAATTTCTGATCATCTAATTGAGTGATGCTGCTCGATATGAGCAACATGTGACCCTGATCGATTTCACGGCATGCTCTCCATCAAACGGGCTTTCCGGTCGCGATGAATGTAAAAAGTGATCTGCATCGAGATATACGCGACATGATGCGTTATACATCACTAACGGATGTTGTTCATAATATGATACGGGACATTTCAAGAATACTCGCCTATACAAATACGCGCAGGATGTCCTGATAATGTGGTCTCTTAATTTTAGACCGTCACATCCGGTGAAATCAGAATTGCATATATTACTACAGGCTGTTTAATTTGGGCAACCATTGGCGTAGGTCATTGATATTTATTATATTTTGTTGTACGAGACAGGCCTTCGCCTGTCTTATCTGAAACAAATAATTGATCTCAGAATAAATAATTCTGAAATAGAGTTTTCGTTGCGCACTGCCCAAATCTGCAGCTAAGCAAAACCTGATAGATAGCACACCGTTTCTCGAAATTGATGTCACTCGTTTTTGGAACACAATAGAAAAAAAAAGTTTCGCAAAAAATCGTTATGGTCAACCAAATAACTCGGCGAGTTCAAGCTTGCACTGAATTCGGATCACACGTTCCCTGTCTCCCCTCCAAGCCTGGCGCCTCCAGTGTTGCCAGATCGATCGCTACGTTGCCAGTCTCATCACTTAATTTACAGACCTCGTATTATACTATTGTTTGGAATATATACAGATAGCACATTCGATGGCGAATTAATAGCGATATACATATCCAATAAATATGAAGATTATGAAATGTTGCTGATTCAGAAAACTCATTTTTTTTTTATTTCGAATCAGACTCTGGAAGTGAAGCGGTCTTTCAACGGGATTCACCGAAAATCAGAGCTGTCACGGTAAAGTGTCAGTTTTTTGCTGAAAAACATCGTAGTGTAAAGCATCTAGATCGATATCCTGAAATAAAAACATACTATTATTGCCTTCGTAATATGCATCGGTAGAACTCGTGTCTTATTACGCCAAGGAAGAGTAGTGATCAAAACTAATTTGAAATAAATGATTATAAATGTATGTAAAATCCTGCTAATTGAAAGGTATTCCACAATTGATTGTCGATTCTTATTTATTTGTTTAACAAATCATTTGAACATTTTTTATTATTCGTGAATAATTTACGAAACAATTTATTTGTTATTCGCAATTCCAATAAATTTTACCCAACTCTGGTACGAGGAAATTGATGAAGCTATCGGAATGGTTCCAAGATGGTACCAATGATGTAATTCGTATGTGTAAAGGGGATGCGGATAAAGCACAGGAGACCATGAATCACAAAATTTTGCCCGACAACATATCCGCAGACACTACTGCCGTTGCTATGTCTTGCTAGACCTGAATCATGAGGCATTCCCCCCTCCCCCAGACGTATGCCATCCCCCGCACTTCAATTATTACAAGGGTATTTGTTCCATAAATGAAAAAATAACAAGCACTCTATTTAATTCAAATTTTGGGACACCGTTTATAAACCTTTAGAATTTTCATATGATGGACTTTTCATTCATATTGCACACGATCTTCTATTATGGGTATATCCGTTTCGGTTATTTATTGTAATCGAAGGTAGGGGAAGTAATAATTGTCGTTCAGTTACGTTTATGTTGGTTGTGATAAGAGGTTATCTTATGTCAATTTAAAGTGTTGTTTGTCAAGAATGAACGAATTAAGCTTTGGTGTCTTTCATCACGTAACATCTTCGAAAATAGATCAGAGCAGTCTTGATGTATATGGATAGATTGGATATTTTTTATAAGCATGCTTTCTACCCTTAAAATAAAGCACCCTATTATGTCCTCTATCAAACTCTTTTAAAGAATCATGTTTTTGCAGTCCACTAATTTAACGGGTAAAAATATTTTTTTAGTGATTTTTGAAGAAAAGCATTCTGAAGCTCCAAGTTTCAAGTCTAGAGGCTCAAAAACATTATTTCAATTAAGCCATGATTTGCTTCTTTAAAACCTCAGTACGACCTTTTTAACTGAGATAGCGAACTTTAATCCAAAAAGGTCCCTTTGTCTTTAATCGACGATATCTCAACCTATTACATTTTTTCTCACGCTATTTCTTGAAAATACGTGAAATATGTAGATTTGAAAATTATTTTGCCAAAAGATCTTAAAGCTAGAAACTGAGAACATCAAAATTCTTTTTTTGAACCTCGTTACGACCATTTTTCAGTGAGATACAGCATTCTGAAAAATCACTAAACTTTTGGAAAAAATGTTTGACCATTCAATTGTTTCCATTAGTGTACAGCAGTTGCATTTTGACTCGTCACCTATACGGGTATACATATATTCGGCAGTTGGATAGTTCTTGTGTGTCCATTAAATAATAGGAACTGGTTACTGGTATTACTACTACCGTCCTCGCCTACAAAGCGAGCTATCCTTGTGGGTTCAACTTATAGTCTATTTGGCGAATTTACGATATTGTTTTCTTCTTCATTTTACATATCACAGCTCTAATGCTTTTCATTCTGTTTCAGGTGAGTACTTCATAATCCTGAAATCACGCATTTTGCCAGATGTTCCATGGAGGTATGTTTTAAGTATCCTCTATTTTTGTACTATAATTCTGTAAATGAGCTATAATATTCAACTATAATCCTCCTTCGAGACACTGATATCTTTAAGATCGGATAAATTATACTTTTTTCATGATTCGAGTAACGAAGAACACTAAAAGTGGTAAAATATTCTAATTTTCTCCAATTTAATCTCGGAAAACAGACGTCAAACCTTGCTCCCAACTAACAAGCCGAGTAACTAGTCTATTAATTATTCCCAACAACTTATTTCACTCTATCGGCATAATTTTTCACCGCTTCTCAATGCTGCTGCTAGATAATCATTTTTAGTGCGGTTCTTGTTTATTGTAACCTTGACAAAAATATGTTATTTGACATGGATAAATACAGCAAATACTAAACAAAACTTATCACAATGTGCGTGTTACATAATTGAGATAAACCATATTTTTATTAATTGCAATTTACAGTAAAACTGTCATCGAGCCACAGTCTTATCGAAGGATAAAGAAACACATTGCAGCTAATACACTTCTAAAATCAGAAACTTATTTATTTAGGATATTCTCCTTTTTGATATTGTGTATTAAACAACCACTCAAAAGTGATCCAATTTTTTAACCTGAAATCACGTTATAGGTTAAGGCCACCTACCTACAAACAGCAGAAGCTATTTTGATTTTATTTAAAGGTAACTGAATGAAGACAATAATTCTTAGTTATGGTACAAGAATATCTGTTCCGCCATTCGAGGATAATAGCGCGGGTTATATAATAAACATTTTGAGCTGCTACTGTGACCGACGATGGAAGATAAAACGATTAGTGTAACTCCTGACTTACGTTTTACTACATAGAGTTATCGAACAAAATCTTGGCACAGGAATATTTAGTAGCTCAAATCTGGATTTTTTACGGTATTAGATAAAATATAATAATATAACTTCACATATTCTAGCTTATTGTTCATCCATCTAGTTATTTCACAATGAAAAACGTAACTTTCTAACGTTGATTCGTTACAATCAGATGATGTATTATACACATATTCATAAAAGTCTTTCTATAACGTTTTATGGAAATGTATCCTCTATTTTAATATGTATTTGCAATAACTCTTGTAAACATGTTACTTTTTTCTTCATGTTCCACTTGAGAATTGAGCGTCTTGTAGCGTTATTGCGCTATATCATTCATAAGTTGTCGTAAACACGAGTCACAAGACTATGTTCATTATAAATAGCTGTAATAAGTGAATTCACGCCTAACCCATTAACAAAAGTCGACTCAAGGATCGTGAAGGTCATCATAAGTGAGGCTGGAGTACAAACTACGAGAATATTTGCTGGAAAAAATGTTATTGAAATTTCCCAGACAACATCTCGCATTGTAGACTCTGCTTATCAGTGTTATTATAATTCCATTATTTCCGGTGGCCAGATCACAATGTAGCGTATTATAAGGCTTGTTGAAAGCATCCGTTCATTTGTGTTTATCTAAAGGCAACCACATCGACAAAGGTTGAGTTAGAAGCACATGGAAAGATTGTCATACTATTTATGAGGAATTTTGTTATATCTCCTCAACTGATGCTCCAGCGAATATAGATGGGGAGGGAAATTTTGATTATCTATTAACAAAATTAGACACATAGACTGACACACGGTCTTACTGTACTGGTATCCTAAAAATCCGTACTTTTGGTTCGATGGCATAGCTTAGAAAATATGTTTATTCTTAAGAAATAGTTCACCGAATTATGAATTGAGCAGTATAAAACTGCGTCTATTCCAAGTCGGTACAGCAGTTTTTTTTTCAGCCCAGTAATAATATTAAACATTTATAAAGCAGTAGCTGTATAATAGATGTAGGCTTTCAGTCTCTGTCTCTATGTTTACATAATATATATATATAACTTGAGACGTGGTCATTGTCGTCTAGACCAGTTAGGTGAAAAATTAAAGCTTCCGCCTTTTGTTGGGTACTTCGACAAAATTTAAGCAAAGAGGACTCTTTATACTTTTTTTAATTCTCTCTAGCTTTCAATGGACTTTGCCATCATCATCAGGAGAGTAGTATGTGAGGATGTTGCTAATTGTTGTTTTCGTATAGGATGAGGGAAACGTCCAGTAACATGGTGAGAGCTGGATACATGGTACAATGGTTAAAATTATATAAAATATGACAAGACAAGTTAAAGACAGATTAAAAAATGTTTTCTAAATAATTTTTAATCTGTCTTTAACTTGTCTTGTCATATTTTATATAATTTTAACCATTGTACCATGTATCCAGCTCTCACCATGTTACTGGACGTTTCCCTCATCCTATACGAAAACAACAATTAGCAACATCCTCACATACTACTCTCCTGATGATGATGGCAAAGTCCATTGAAAGCTAGAGAGAATTAAAAAAAGTATAAAGAGTCCTCTTTGCTTAAATTTTGTCGAAGTACCCAACAAAAGGCGGAAGCTTTAATTGTTCACCTATATATCTGTGATCCCTTGGTAACAGGTGTATCTTTTAAAAACCAGCAATTCGGACTTATAAAAACATTGACCTAATAGAAAATCACGAAGCAGTACCAGTATTTCGTCGCTTTTGCTTACAGACATCCGGGGTGACAGAAAAAAGTTAATTAAAATGATGACAGCGCCACTTATTAGTTGCTTTAGGCTGCTTTAGTGTTTCATCCTACTTTATCTTTGTCTCCGTAGCAAAAACAAAATTCAAAATTGTTACTGTCGTTTTGTTTTCGGTCTTCGTAGGTACAGCCGTGTTACATCTAAGACTTGTGAGTTTGGGTGGCTGAAGCTCAAAAATCTCTTTCAGTTTTTAATGTTAGTTTTTATACACAAAATAATCGTCACCAAGAGACCCATGTTCATAGCAAGTAAGTTAGTTCCTCGTAGAAATCTAATTACAGAAAGGTTACGCCATGAGGATTAGTTCGATATTCCTCTTCACCCTACTTCATTGTTATCAAAGATCTTTTACGTACAATGCCGTTCAGTTATGCAATTCACCCAGTACGTCCAACAAACAAAAACGTTTACCTGCGTTTAAAGAATCGGTTAGAACTGAGCTGTTAGAGATGCAAACATCTCTCAATGCTCGAGTTTTTGTTTTGTTACTCGTTAATTCTTATTCATTCGTTTATGTTTCCAATATTACTCTATGCTATGCTTGTAAATATTGTAATTTCGTAACTATTCTGTTTTTTTGTGTTTTCTTCAGAGATACAAAACACTTTGGATAACTTTTATTAACTCTCAAAGGTGAAATAAATAACTTTTTCCCATGAATTTCAAAAACTATGAAGTAATGGTAAAACTTTGAGAAAAGTACGTACCTTCAAAATGAAGTCCATTCAATTATGTTCAATTTGTTTTAGCAGTTAACTTTTTTCAACTTTCAAATTTGTGTTTTTCCAAAAAGTGGACAACTGAGAATATGAAATAGTAGCCTAAACTTGAACCTTTGCGATGTGTAAACATCCAGAAAAAAAATGTAATAAAAAATGCTCAACATTTTCTGAAAATATATGGTTGCAACTTTTTTGAGGCTAATGGCAATTATGCTGTAAATTGGAAATATGAGATTGATAGATATGTATATAGATAGATACTTTATTCAATTAAGAAAACGTCATATCTGCGTGCTAGCAGATATGGAGAGAAAAGAAAATATAAGTATAATATACGGTCGATCGTGACGATAAAGCAAAGTTAAGAAACTACTAGACTACAAAAAAGTGCACGAAATTTGAACAGCTAAATCGCGTACAACACCATATTCTAAAAAGCATATGATCGAAAATGGTAAGAAACTTATAAGGTATAATATATACCTTTACAGTAATGTTATCATAAAGAAGAAACATTAATTTAACGAGTAGAAAGTATTTACATATTTAGAAATACAAAAAGTAAAATTAGTAATAGTTAGTGTACATTGAGATCTAGTGGACATCTCATGAGCAGGACAGACAGTTAAAAGAAAGGCATAGAAATAGACTCGAGTTGAAATACATGAACCGCAGGCCATTAGTCACTTCAAAGACATAAAAAGACAGGTATTTTAACAGGTTATAGGTTTTGTCTATATAGTATAAACATTTGTTAACCAAACACTTCCTCAAGTGCTTTTTCAATGCAAAAATATTAGTGCTTCTTTGAAACTGTATAGGCAAGTTATTATATATCTTAGTGCCTGCAAATATTGGACATTTTTTTAACAAGCTGGAGTTCTAAGTTGGTATACTTGAATCGTACCCTGACCTGGTGTTATGTTTGCTATTTATTTCATTATTGTGGATAAAGCAATTGTCGTGTTCAAAGGCGAAGATGGCGCATTTATAGATACATATGGAAATTAATGTGAGCAGATTATAGCATCTGAAGGTTTCTTTACAAGAGTTCCTCTTATTAATATTACTGAGGACTCATTTTGAAGGTCTTCTTATCTCCTATAACTCCTCTTTACGTCAATTTGACCAACACATCATAGTTCTTTGAATATACGCGAAACAACAGCATTTTTTTTCTTTCATTTCTAGACGAAACCTCATTTCGTTTACCCTTAAGAATAAAAATCCATTGTAAAATAACCCTACGCCTGATCTTCTAGGAAAATTTCTCGCTACGCCCATGCAAATGTCGGCTGTGGCGAGCCGGCAAGTGGGTAGCGTCCCACGCTGTGAGTGGGTGTGTCGCCTGTGGTTCGTGGCCCGATCTGGCTCGACAGCGGCGGATACCATGCATATTTCCATAACACACACCGAAACACCATACCAAGGCGACAGACACATGAAAATCTAGTGAAAGCTTTACCGGCAATTGTTTTGCTTACCTAATGAACCGGGAGACAGAAAGGGAGACAGACGTCTTCTTAAAATGCATGACTGTGGTGCAGTGAATACCAGATAATGTGAGTTGGGAATGTTGATTAACCTAAACCAATTTTTTTGAGGGTGCAAGAAATTTACATACGAGATCGTCTGAAATC